GGGATCTCCACTCCTACAAAATCAGCCCCTCCCCTCCTTTTGTTACCAAACATTTACATTTAGCTTTCCAACACTCAGACCTGATAGCAATCATTCCCTGTTGAACTACAGGAGTCCTTTTCCCCTCACCTTTTATCAAACCCCTCCAGACATGTTGGAAACAATTCAGTGGAGAGTCTACCTTTCCACATCCTCTGGAGCTAGGTTCCCTATTGAAAGCTTGTAAGCCAGTCACTTCTTGTCTTCATAGTCCCCCCATTTTGGGTAGCCAATGTCTACCTTCCCTGTTGACCCTGTGTATCATGAGGGTGGGAATGATCCTCACTGTAAAGATTTGTCCGCTCCTTTGTCATACTGCATCCACAAGCATAAGTCAAGATCATCCACTTATGGTGGGTTACTCTTTTTTTCTCCCTGTTCTTTCTTCCTCTAATGGTTTTCTGATCATCCAGCCATTGATGCCAGGTCAAATGGGTACTATCTGCAAGTGTGGGTGGTCTTGTGCATCCCCTCCTCTATATCAGCTGGATGCTTCATACTCTGTTCTAGTCCTCTGGGGCCATGTCCCAGCCCCTGGGCCCAGGATTCCCCAGATTCCGCCATACTGCTGGTTAACCAGGTCTCAATCCAGGTTAACAGAAGTCTATTGAATGTGGTAAGACATAGTTCACAACTTCATTGCTGTTTGTCCCCCTCTTCCCCTTGTCGGTGACCAATGTGGTCAGCAGCAGGACCATATGCCTGCTAGTGTATTCCATTTGAGTTTCAGTCTTAGAAGGGGGTTTGCCTTGAGGGGACTTTACTACTTGCCTTAATGGCTCCCTGGGGAACAACTTGCTTGTTCTTGTAGTAGTCAATTGGACTGCTGTTGTCGGTTTGTTTGTCGTCGTCATCGCCCCCCAACCCCCAGCCTGCTCCCCCGCCGCTGGTCTTTCTTTTAAGAAGTATCTTCTGTTCTTCTAGCTGCTCCAGACTGGCCTACTTGTTCTTTCACGTGGGAATGGCCCACCTAAGAAGATTCTGGACGATGATCAGGATTCCACCTATGGTCTTGCGCAATGCAAAGGTTCTTCAGGGAGCCTCCTTCACTGGGCAAGTTCTAGCCCCATTTTAGTTATTCCAAACAGTTATAGGCTGAAGATGGACTTATAGGCTTTCTCTGGTGATGTTTCTGGCTATTCTTCTCCATCCCCTTCAACTGTCTTTTTTACAATAGTAGACAAGAGAAATTAAGATTCAACAGACAGCCAAGCATCTTAATATCATTTCCCCACTTTTACCCATTCAAACCATGCCTCAATCTTTGTATCCACGAGCCCTGTTGTTCCACATTTGTGCTTAGATCGTTATTTACCTCTGTCCCGTTTAGCCCATCCTACCTGCTCTTTGATTGGCTTTCCTTTACACTGTTTCTTCGGAGACTTTCTCTAAAGTATGTTTTAAATTAATCATTAGAATTGTCTTCTTTGGCCACTCCCTTTATTCTTTTGCTGGCTTTGCAAACAAATCTAGTCTAACCCAGATGCTAACCCTAAAGACTACATGGTATCTGGACTCATGAATAACCTAGCAACACAACAAATATTAAATGTTTAGTTAATCAAAACGAACATATAAAATATCAACTATATTCATCCAAAGGAAAACACAAAGTAATTTTTCCTAATTTATATACAGTGAGATTTAGAAGACTTAATGATTGAAACGCACTGCTTTAGAATATATTTTTTTTAAGAACCTGATGAAATCTATGAATTCAACCCTGGAAAAAACATATACGTAAAATTCAGTAAGACATTAATAGCAGTTCATATCCTTTCTAATGGCAATACACAGAGATCCCTCCTCTAGCAGTTTGAGAACTGGCCTAAAATATTCAGTGTAGACATTCCCATTATTTATGGGCTCAACAGGCAGAAATCCTTATGATGCACTTTCTACTGAACACAAAAGTGTGTGTGTGTGTGTGTGTGTGTGTGTGTGCTGTGCCATGCAGTCGGTTCTGACTCATAAGTGATCCTGTATACAGGGTTTTCGAGGCTGTAAATCTTTACGGAAAAAGAACGCCTTCTCTTTCTCCCGTGGAACTGCTGGTAGTTTCGAACTACTGACCGTGAGATTAGCAGCCCGATTCGTAACCACTACGCTACCGGAAATTCTTATGATGCACTTTCTACTGAACACAAAAGTAGTAGCTGCTAATTTTATTCTCAAAAGATAGTGGATAATTTTAGCACATTGGGTTATTTAATGATAAATGTTTGTGATACCTTTTATCACTTTTCTGAAAAGGGCTTTATGAGTAAACCAGTCATTTTGTGATATAATGAAGATAGGACATTAAGAAAATGACAGAAGAGGGGAACAAAAGAGTAGAATGTTTGAAATAATGTACACGGAGGGAAGTATACAGTGCTATGCACATAATGGTGCTTGATAAATAACACTGGATAATTTAGAGCCTTTTAAAAAACTAAATACCTAAAAACCAGTTATTTTACATCAGAAACAGACTACTGTATGAAGGTATGTAATTGGTATATTTGTAAATTGTATCCACTGAAAAACTCACAGAGAACACAGTGTATATTACATTCAGTATCTGCATATTTACATGACACCTGCTGCAAAATAAATACAAAACCAAAACAAGGACTTTTTTTTTCCCCCAACCAAAACAAAGAAGGCTCTCAAACACCAATTTACTATTTTATGCAAAAATACAGCAATTCTAAATATAAGTTTTTGCATTCACGCTTAGTCAGTAAAGATATATCATTAGGTTATTAAAATACAGATAAGGTTTCAGACTTTAATTACCAAGATAACCATATTTCTGATTTATAGCGGACCATAAAATAGTAGATACTGATAGATATCTATCCTTTTTCACATTTTTAAGTTTTCAAAATTTACATAATAAAATTCTGAGTATGCACATTTCACCAATCATTCAATGAGCATATTTATTCCAGATCAGGAAAGTTCAATTAATTAACCAGAATCCTCTCTCTACTTCCCATCTGCTAGGGCTCAGTCTGCAATCTGCTAGGGCCCAGTCTGAAATCTGACTTTCTATCAAAAGCAGTGGTCCAGAATTTCTTTCATAAAATTAATCGGAAGAGTTAGTGGGCAGTTTTTAAATTATTTCACTGCTTATAAACATAAATTGTTAGTGTAAATCAATGATTCTCTGCAACAAAATTGTCTCGTGAGCTCTTTGAAAAATAAGAGATTATAGGCTCTACTGTAGAACTCTTGAGATTCTAGGAGCTTCTGTATTTTGAGAAGTTCCCAGATAGTTATGGGAACCTAGACCACTGATTCTCAACCTTTAAGGTACACCAGAAAAACTTTAAAGATTTGATTCAATTGATTTAGAGTAGTGTCTGGGAATCAACATTATAAAGAATCACTTCCACAAACTTCTCTGAGAAGCAATGCACAGCCTCTATCAAGTTATGAGTACATTCAATAATTTAAAAGATACTGTCCTGCAAGCCCTAATGAATCCTGCTCCTGCTGTTTTAGCAAGTGTTTCAGTGCAACAGCACTTTGAAGTAAGATATATTCTTCAGAAAAAGTTGAAACCAAGTGAACTGTGAGGTCATATTCATTCATTAAAGAAGGGAAAGTCTCTTTCAGCAAATTATTTAAACTTTTAAATAGATCTATGCTTAACATTCAATTGAAATCTAACGCTTTCTCCATCATTAGTTTGATATGTGATCAGAGGTAGTGATTCCAGCTTGCCAAAAATGCAATGTGGATGATGAAAGATACACATTCTAATCCTATCTTTATAGGTTTTAAACATTCCCTATGTAACAGAGATTGAAAACCAGCTGAATATTTAAATAACAGTAAAACAGCAAATAATAACTAGGATTTTAAACAACAAAACATCGTATTTCCTTCACATAGTAAGTTCCTACATATAACACTAGAAACAAATCTAAAAAACACTAGAGGCACTGTGTTCCCTCTTTTGTGAAGAAGCTATTTACTGCTTTCTACCATTCCCATCCTTATCTATAAAGTAGGTTAACTGGTACATAAACAACTCTACTTTAGGAATTTTTTTAGAGCCCAGCAAAAGTAATTACTTCTAAGGTCACACAGCAAATCAGAGGACAGACTGAACCAGTAATTAGCTCTTCCAGTTGGAAAGCTGGGCTCATGATCTTACTTAATTGACAAGGATATCTCAGTGTCACTGTGACTGATTCCTTTTACTGAGTTTTATAAATATTTAAGCATATTAAGTGTGTGACAGCTCCACAACCCCCTAAACCTTAGAAAGAGATGTCATTAACCTTGAATCCAGAAGATACATAAGAACTAAGTAACAAGAAAGATTCAGTGTGGTTGCAGACTATGAGAAGCAGGCAGCATATGTGGTGAAGGGTATCTAGCTGGCATCCTGCTCACTTAGCCCTTACCTAAGATGCTTTTTTCACCTGTAAACACTTTCATCGTGTTCTTCACAAGAGCTTGTTCTATCTCATTCCCAGGGGTATTATGATATTAAATAGCAGGAATGTCTTTCTGGTCAAGCAAGAGAAAGGAAATTGCCAAAAGCCAGCACTGTACTGCCAAGAAGGGTAATCATTCGATAAATTAAGAAATGGAAACTTTTAAATCTACATCTATTAAGCTAAAAATTGCACACTAATTTTTTACCACTTAAGAGTCTAGATTATTATAATAATCAGACCAATCTTCCAGGTTATAAATGATTCAAAGCCAAAATGATAATTTTTAAAATCAAGTAAATGTTGAGAAATATTACATATAAATACCAAAACCAGGTAACATTATGCCTGCTACTTTGAAAGATGGCTGGAGTGAAGCTAAGGATCCACAGCAATCCTGGAGAAAATATTTCAAAATATAACAATAACATAAGGCACTACCTTAACTCTAATTATCCTTAGGTCATCTTTAACCCAAAGAAAATGGGATCAGCAAAGGAAGCACACACAAAGCTATTTAACTTCTCATGTCCTTTTGGCTGGTTTGGCAGTTAACTGCTTTTCTCTTTCAAATTCCTTCTCTCGTTGCTGCTCCCTTTCCAACTCTTCTTTCTGCCTTTTCTGCTGCAGTTTAAGTGCTCTTTTCTGTGTTAAAAAATTTTTAAAAACCAAGTGAGCAATCAAGTGTTAGAGGTTATTGCCTACATTAACAATTTTAAGTAACAGCTCTTTAAGATGATCGATACATATTAGTAAAGTTAATATTTAACTTAAATTAGTTCTGGGTACTACAAGGTCCCCTTGATTTAACAACAACAACAACAAAAAGTTATTCTCGGTTCTCATTATGAGCTCTGGTAGCAAAGTGGGTTATGAGTTGGACTGCTAATCGCAAAGTCAGCAGTTCGAATCTACCAGTCAGTCCATGGAAGAAAGATGAGGCTTTCTGTTCCCATAAAGATTTACAGGGTCACTATGCATCAGAACCGACTCCATGGCACATAACCACCATCACCACCACCAAGCTCTCGTTAGATGGGAATCACAACTTTATATCCAGAGACTATAGCCCACCAGCCCAGCTATTAGTAGAGAAAGAAGCCTAGAGTGTGGATCAATAAGAGACAGATTTTTAAAGAAAATCATGTACTGTAAGTTAATTATGTTATTCTATATGGACATATAAGGAGCTCTGGTAGCGTAGTGGTTATGAATCGGGCTGTGAACCGCAAGGTCAGCAGTTCGAAACTACCAGCT